ACTAATTACTTGTAGAAGACGCACCTTCATATGACACGCCAGGCCCAAAACGCAGCCAGGTCAATAACAAGACTCTGGTACACACCGAAAGTTACAAACAACTTGATGTCCTCCCCAGCTTAAATCTCGGCCTGAAAGATACGTAACGACTCTCCATACCAGACCGGCCTTCTAAAAACCGCATCTACAGCCTCGATACCTGGGCGCGACCTTGATACCAGCCTCTCCCACTTGCGGTGGTAGATACAATGAGAGATCGCTTGCACCGGCCCTAGGATCGTGGAACGCCTCTATCGGAACATGGCAACACTTCAGCTTCGGAAAATCTCGGAAAGATCCAAGGGTATCGTTCTCTCGACCGCCGGGATACACCAGGTCCAGGATGTCTTCGTCACTATCGTCCGTCACATATACCGCTTCTAAGGAGTGTCGGTGTCTCCTCAGCGCATCCCCCAGAAGTTTCCAGGAGTGCTCAGGCCAGATTGACAAAGGATTGCCTTCTGCGGCGAATGGCTCCCATCTCCCGGTACTGCGGTCGTATCCAAAGCTGTGAAGGGCCTTGAGCGCGAGGAGCATTTGTGCGATAACAGCAATGTCCATCATTGCATCAACCAGGTGAAGTTTTCGAATCGAGCTACTCGACTCGGGGACCGACCAGTTCTCAACAGGTGTTGTTTGACATATCCCCGCGAGGACAAGTGTTTCGAGGGATGGAAGACGGAACACACAGCAAAGCTCCTCCACCGAGAGGTTGCAGGAAGCGATCTTGAGCTCCTTAAGCTTAGCAAATCGATTGACATGGCCACCGACGGGTCGCGTAACAGCGCTGTTCAACATCTGCAACCATTTCGGTGTATGCGCGGGGCGGTCAAATCGCTCCGTCACGTAAAACTCTTGGATGTCGTGGGCGTTGGCCAAGATCTTGTTGCATGCGTCCTTGTTGACGTTTTCCCCGTCGAAGAAGATACTAATTCTGCGGATGTGCTCGGAGAGGAGATGGTTGCTGACCATCGCCGCCGTTTTCTTATAGTGTGTCGTAGAGCCTGAGGCACATAAGGTCTTGTACATCACCACCTCCGCGAGTCGCTTGCAGAGCTTATCTGTACGACACAGCTTCGAGAGTGCGTCGTCGCGGCCGACTTCCTTTACATGCTCCATGATCTTCAGGAGAAGTTCTTCCGGTATGCCACCAAGACACGCTTGTGGGTTTTTGAGTACGACAGGGAGATCTGGGCTGCCGGGGCCATCATCGGTGGCCGCGTGGGTGACCTTGACGGATATCGAGACGGATCGGTTACGCTTAGCCGAGGCCGAGGCGTGCGAGAGTGAAGCTTTGCGCTTCTGCGGCGTCGAGACGGTAGCTGGCGCCATGGCGGTGGTGGGCTCGAGGGGGTGTGCACCTCGTACAACGTCGATGTAGGCTCCAGGGTGAGGTGTACAAGTGTCGTAAGGGGTACAATTAATCTGGCAAAGCTGTACAGTCGAAGAACACCTGCGTGGAAAGAGTTGGCCGCCGACACGAAAGTGAGTGGTCGTGGTGGTGAGAGGAAGTCAAGAACTCGGAACGCGAACGAGAAGAAAACAACAACAAAACGCGTCGATGCGCGCCCTTCACACGCGTCACCCGATGCATGGCCACTCATGGTGAGGGCCCTGAGTGCGCGCGCAGGTGCGAGAGGAATGCGCCGCTCTGGCCAATCGGGAGCGTCACTGCGGAGGTGTGAAGCGGAATATTCACCTCACCGCCGCCCATCTGGCGTTTGAAGAGTGCACAATGTGCGCACGCATGGTCAAGTCATTGGGAGAACGAGCATGTGAAGTGGGTGTAGTATTGACCGCTAATGTATCAGGCATGCCGATGTCGCTGCTCAGAAGATACCTCGATGAGTATCCCTCCGCCATATGTTCAGAAAAGAAGACATTAAGCCAAAGAGAAGGCGGATAGTTAGCTATTTCCAGACCCATGCTAGCCTTTCTGCCCAGTACTCTCCGGTTCCACGGGTATATGTGAGTTGATCGAGCTCATTGTCCCACCCCATGAGCCCCAAACTACCAATGGCTGCAAGCTGCTCTTCGGATCTCTCTTTGAGGAAATCACCCACTCGAAAGTCTCCCGTCATTCTGAAATGAAACCTTCCAAGCATATATGGAAGCAATGCAGTTTCTGTATGAAGCTGACGAGAGGTGAGCAGTAACGCTAGGTCGTTCTCTTTGGCTGAGTTTTTTCGTGTCCTCCAGCCAACGAAGTTCCAGTCGTTGTTGCCGAATACGTAGGTGTATATCATGTTTCGTATTTCGCCTGGCAAGCGGAGAAGAGGCGAATTGGTCGCGTTGGCTTTGGTGCTACAAACGATACATTAGTTTTCGGAATGGCAAAAGCTGGGTGACTTACATCTTGTCGCGAGGAGCTTTTTCGCGGAGACGTCGAATCGCTGCCCTCTCTTCAGCACCCTCAAAGCGCCGCTTCTTTGCTGGGGGCTGGCCGTTCGAGCGAGAAGGCATTGTTGAGCACTTTCGTGACAGCTTGGTGTGTTGTGCTGTGTGTGGTGTAATATGGGCGAGGGGGTCGGTTGAATGTGGAGGGGAGTAGAAGTGGGTTGGGAGCAGACTGCCAGACTGGTATAGGTGCGGCATTCTCTACTAAGCTAGTGGCTGCAGAAAGCGACGATAATGGAGGGTCGCGCATGTGATTGACATTTGCCAGGTTTCACCGTTCCTCGCTACCTCATTCCTTCACTTCGAAGCTTCCCCAATGCAGACATACGGTCGCTCTCTCGTTCTGACTCAAACAGTTCAGCTGAGATCCGATTCATGTTGTCTGCAGCGACTAATTATATCCTTCCAGTGAGTTTCTGACGAAGCTATCAAACATCCAATCTCTTGATCCAGACCAGTCCGGTCCCGCCCCAATACCAACTATAACTTCTCCCTCTCGGCTCGCGAGCTTGTAAGCATACGATCGCTTCGACCTGTTGCATGGATCTCTTCTTGAGAAACCCTCGAACGAATGGCTCACAAACCCGGTGTAGATAGCCCGGTTGGAAATGGAAATCGAATGTGCCAAGCTCATACGGGAGCATACCGGTTTCGGCGTAGGTCTGACGGGACACGAGCAGAAGACTCATGTTCATTTGCGTGAATGTCTCTCCACAAGTGACCGTGTGATCATCCCTTTCTAAGAAAAGATAATATTGGCCACGAAAGACGTAGGTGAATATCATGCTTCTGAGCTCGGCCGGAAGGCGAAGAAGAGGTGAGTCGATGGAGTTGAGCTCGGTGCTGTAATAGTTGTCAGGCGGACCAAGCGCATAGCTTGTGATGGTACTTACAGCCGATCGAATGAACTTGAATCTCGACTCACCCTCTGACGGGCTCTCTTGTCGCGAATCTCTTTTGTGGATGCTGCAGTCGCCGGGGATGGCGCTTTGCGCTTTCGTGGTGCCATGATGAATTGGAGTTGGGGTGCAGAAAGCGAGGTGATCTTGCGACGAGGCTGCGTCGTAGAAGGCGAGAGCAACTGGGCGGTCCATTTGTTGAATGCGGCTAGCGTTGTTTGACTAGCTGCCGGCGGAGGGCAGGGTGCACCGCCTCGAGTCGCTCATCCGGAGATCTATATCGGATTTGACCCTTCATTACAGTTCTCCGGTCGCCATGTAATGTTTCACACAGCAAGACTTGGAAGAGATGAACTGCGTTCGCTGAAGAATCAAGCACTATGGGCATTTACATTATTGTATACTCATGTCTTTAATTGAAAGAAAAGATGCTAACGTAGTGACCAATTGTAATAGCTAGAATACCTATAGATTTGTTACTCGATGAATGCCACCGCATGTATACATAGACGCTCCACTAATGGTCTCAGATTTCCCCTATTCTTCGTCTATACCATTCCGGACACAATGCCTTCACATCATTCTTAGCGAATGCGTCAGCCCATTGCATCCCAGTACCCCAATATGGTCTATCATTTCTGGTCTCAGGATCATATCCAACGACTTCAAACTCCTCGCCCATAGCTCTAAGCTGTTCCTCCGATCTGCTGCCGATGAAAGCCCTTACATAAACTTCCCACGGGGCTTCCGGTCCGTGGAGAAAAAATTGAAATAGCCCAAGTTTATATGGAAGCAACGCGGTTTCAGCGTAGAGCTGACGAGATGTGGCTACTAAGCCGAAATTGCACCTATGGAACGAGAATATCTGACCAGGATCAAAGTCCCTGTCGTTGTTGTGGTCTACGAAGCCGCAGGCTGTGCTGCTAAAGACGTAGGTATAGATTGTGTTGCGTAGCTCGGCGGGTAGGCGGAGGAGGGGCGAGTTGGCTGCGTTGAGCTCACTTCTACGTAGTTTATCAGTTCTGCATGCGTGAGATTAGGGATTGAGGCTCTTACATTTGGTCGCGACGAGCTCGACATTGAGGAGTGTGGGTGTCTTCAAGAGGGCGGGATGACGTGTACGTGGCGGGTCTAGCGTAGACTCGGTTGTAGAACGAATCCTGAGGTGTGCGGAATCTCCAAGACGACATGTTGTGCTGCGGTGGGGGATCTGGCGTTAGTGGGAAGAGTCCTGGTTGAAGGAGAGGAGAGGAGGTAGAGTAGAAGTAGTGTATAGAGTATTGTCAAAGTGGCATAGAAAAGTGCACAGTAGAGAGATCGTTCAGAGTGAGTCCTTTGTGATTCACTTTCACACTGCCGTTCATATTTGGCTGCGTCTGTTGATAATTATACGTTGAGAAAGAGATTCACTGTGTGCAAAGATGTTTCCCTGACCAGCCGAGGGTATATAGTGTACGTTGGCCGAATGGTCGAATGGTGAATAGACTACACTGATTCGTTTTCTGTCTGCTGTAGTCTTGGTACGCCACTTCGACAAGCTAAAACAAGTACTTAACGTATGACCGGCGAAAGAACAATTCTCGTTTCCCTTCTGTCTCGTTGCGTCTTTACGACAGCACCTTGATGGAAGATGCTGCCACTCTCTCTTTGCGTCACTACACTGGGTTATTGCATACCCGCATCGCTGACCGCGAGCAACTGTTCGTCGGGGCCCCAACTCGAATATGTTTCTAGTTCCCTTTCCATATAATATGGATTGACCCAAGCTGATGTGCCATGGTAGTATCGATGACCTCCTGCGTACTTCCCGAACTGGCTGACCATCATGTTTTTGTCCAGAACCAGCTCTTGTTCTTTAGTTCTGTTCTTCACGAACCTCTCCACACAGTATGACCATTCGACCTTGGAAACTCTGAACTTGAAATGGAAGGAGGCGAGTTGATAAGGAAGCAGGGCTGTCTCGGCGTGCAGTTGGCGCGACGCAACAAGCACGCCCAGGTTGTTCTCGTCGAATGAAGTCGTTGAAGCGGTGTATTTGCGATACACATTGCTGCCATCGAACAGGTACACGTTGTCGCTGAAGACGTAGGCGAAGATGACGTTTCTCAGTTCGGCCGGAAGACGAAGGAGGGGCGAATTGAGTGTGTTCATCTCAGTGCTGAGACATCTTGTTAGTTATCTCTATTCAGATGTAGCTGGAGAGGTAGGGAACTAACATCTTAGCACGGCGAGCTTTACTATGAAGAGCTTGTTCTTTGAGAACTTGATCGCGCAGAGCTTGCTCACGCACCGCTGTCCTGCGCTGAGCCCGACGATCGCGCTCTGTGTTGTTCTTGGTAGGTGATGCGCCGAGGCGAGGCTTTTTTCCGCGCTCTCGAGATGCCATGACGGTGAGCGCTTGAGGTGTTGGAAGTTCTGCGAAGCGTGGTGGGTTTGAGGTGGGAGACGAGGTAAAAGAGTGTAGAGTGGAGATAGTACATTTTACGAGAGCTCGCTAGTAGGCTACCATTCCGAGGCCCACTTAATTGGACAATACTACGATTACGCAGTGCGAAACTAGCTTCGCTCAACTGTCGAAGTGCACAAAGAACCCATTCAATTCGGTTTTCTCGAATGAGTGTTGTTGTCAATACAAGAATCTGCACTGTCGGGAGAACTCTGCCCAAAGCGACCAAAACACGTGCAGTTTGTATTGCTACTCGGCTGCCTGTAAAACTAGTTCGAAGAGCCCCGGCGTATCTTGACGCGAGTCGAGATGAACAGACGGTCGCTCTCCAGTCCTGGCAAAAGTGGTCCAGGAAAAGATCCGATTCATGACATCCATACAAGCTCAGGTATACTGTCCCCTGACTAGTACTCTTCTGAATCACCACGCAAGCAACCACGGAATTCTTGCGCCCATTCAACCCCAGTCTGAGTCTTTTCCCACATGGTGCCATACATCTGCTCTGTGCTGACTTGCATTGTAGCAATTGCAGCTATCTGCTTTCGGGACCTAGCACGGAAGAAGTCTTGCAGTACCTCCTCATACCACTCATCTTCATCGAAGTCGGGTTCCTCAAACTCAAAATGAAAAACACCGAGCTTGTAAGGAAGTAACGCGGTTTCAGCATGAAGCTGACGGCAAGCGAGTAGTAGACCAATATCGTTGCTTCGAGACGTTCGCCAGATAAGTGTGTTCCCTTCTTCTGGCCTTTTACCAGTGAACAAATACCCACCAAGCGCGTAGCGATTGCCCTCAAAGACATAGCCGTAAACGATGTTGCGGAGCTCGGCGGGGAGACGAAGAAGAGGGGAGTTGGTGGCATTGAGCTTGCTGCCAAAGCGAGGTATCAGCTTTCGAACATGCATTGTGAATCTGGGGACTTGCATGGTTCGGTGAAGACCTTTCTGGTGAGTGACTTTAGGGGCAGCGGACTTCTTGCGGCGCGTCTTATCAACTAGCGCCTGATCGCGACGCGCATCATCGCGAAGACCTTGCTGCTTGTAGGCTTGATCTCGAAGCGCAGCTCTCTGGCGAGCCCTGTCGTCGCGCTGCTTGTTAGAGGAGGGCACCTCGGCTGGGGGCTTCGCTGAGCGCTTGCGAGATGGCATCTTGGCGTGCGCTTGGAGTGACGGCAATGTTGAGAAGCCAGTGAAAGAGTGAAGAATGTAAAGTAGTGAAGGTGCAAGGTGGAGGATTGTGCGAGAGCTCGCTAAGACGACATGTAAACACCTACGCACCTCGGTTGCTAGGACACCATATCAGGCAATAACGCCAAGTCAGATCAACACGTCATGCCGAAAACACACCTTCTAACGAGCCTTATCATCTCTCAAGACTCCTTCAGCAGAAACAGAGATATATCACATGTCATATAGTAGTTCTGCTTACCGCATCTTACTGCAAGGTGGAGTCACGTCTGCCACTTTTATAATACATCTATGAATATATGCTAGATGAACCGTGCATGTCGCGGCCTTCCAGCTTCAACAATCGACGCTACGCATTTGATCGTTCGCGGAAGTCACTACTCTTAATAGCTTCCAGTGAGATCTGTGACAGTTCAAAGATGAAATGCGATTGATACTGAACAGCGGCGTTGATGCCCATCAAATTGATTTGTGAGAAGCGACTGCTACGAGAACTTTCTGGCTGCTCCGACCTTCGCCTATCAATTCCAGTAGATACTAGCAAGTACCTCATGGATGACGCACGATGTATCGAAACTTCTTCATCTTCAGCCTCTCAGCCCAGTATAATCCCGTCCCCATCGCATACCATTCTGCCTCATCGATAGAACGACGAACCGTCAGGCAACTCATAGCTTTGATCTGTTCTTCCGAACGCCTAGCCAGAAACCTCCTCACATAGGGCTTCCACTGTTTCTTGTTGGATTTGTAGACCATGAAATTGAACGTGCTGAGTTGATAGGGTAGGTACGCGGTCTCGGCGTTGATTTGACGTGATACCAGAAGCAGGCTCATACTGTCTTCGGTAGATAGTTCAGCGTACAACGTTCTCTCTGTTTTTTTGTTGTCCTGGAAGAAGTTGTACGTAGTGTTGTCAAAAGCGCAAGCGTAGATCAGATTGCGCAGCTCCGCGGGCAGACGGAGGAGAGGGGACTTGGTGGCATTGCGTGCGGTACTGCGATGCGACATTAGCAATATATCTCAAAGAAAATTCACAGCTGTAGACATACATGCGATCGTTGACGTCATGGTCTTCAACAACGTCCTTGCCACCGATGTCGAAGGTGGGCGTCTTCTTGGCATCTGGCGCGTCGGTGGTAGCCAGCGCAGCGCGCTTTCGAGACGGGGTGAGAGCTATAGAACCAGCCATTAGGGTTGATGCGGGTTGAGCGAGTATAGGAGTATGGGAAGGAAGTGGACGAGCGTGTAATAGTGAACGAGCGCCGTAGAAGTGAACGAGCGCCGTAGAAGTGGACTAATGTGGGGGCAGCGCACGGGTGTGAGAGCCACTTTGCTAAGACGAAATGTAGATGGGCTTTGATTGTTAGGTAAATAGAACTGAGTGCGAGATTCTGTCCGATAGATTTTGTTGCGAGCGCGCTACTGTACAACACTTTCTTCCCCTCCACATCGATCGGTCCTGCAAAGTATACACGGCATGGCTGGTAGACTTGCACTCTCGATTGCGAATCCAGAGAGCGCAAACGAGTAACCGACCTAGGCTCGCGGGCCAGAATTAATCCTCAACCATTTGGCCCAGTAAACTGCCGGCCAAAATTCCCTGTTCGTATATTTTCTTTGCAGGTTGCGTAGCATCCTACTTCGCCCCGAGAACCCAAATGTCCTCATCGCCAGAATATTCGCTTCAGATCGGTTCTTCAGGAACTTCCTCATAGCGGAATACCCTTCGATGCGATTTCCGAAGTCGAAGACTGCCAGTTTATACGGAAGTGATGCTGTTTCTTGACACAGCTGACGAGAGACACGAGGTAAGTCTAGACTGACGCCGTTTTCGGAAACCAGCGTGGTGATCTTTGTACAGGACCATTTGTGCTCGTTCAGCCTGAATATCTCATTGCAGAATACGTAGTGATACACCATGTTTCGAATCTCGGCAGGAAGGCGGAGAAGAGGTGAGCGTGCGGCATTGAGCGTAGTACTTGAGTCAAAATCTTAGCTCTATACAAGACTGCAACGATTGAAAAGGAACTCTTACATGTCGTCAAGCCGGGCGCGTTCTCGAAGAAGCCGCTTTCGCGCCGCAGCCTTGACACGAGCTCTACGGCTAGCCCGGTGAAGCATCTGTATCCCGAAAGAGGTCCGAAACATTGCTGGTGAGGTAGCGTCGTGAATGTGAGGCAGACGAGATCGAGTGGTGTAGGGATGGCTGAACGCGCGAGGTAAGGACGGGAGTGTCGGGGAATGTGCCAAGGCTACAGTGAGGAAGTCGCGTTGTCGTGGCGCTGGGTAGTCGTGCGTCATGGGAAACGAACATCTCCACCTGCGGGATGTACCAATTCGGCAAGACACGTACTTTGAGGGAAACTTTCGCATCAAATGCAACGCCAGCTCTGGCAGCCGACCTATGTCCTGCGTTATCCTGTGAGGGGCATCAGGCAATGATCACGTAATTATAGTAGACGTATAAGGATCTTCTTTCTTCATAAACTCTGAAAGTTTAGTCTACAATACAAAACTCCTTGAGGTAATTCAACCATTTCGGTACGGGTGGCATCCGCCAACGGCAGTGTACTAGCCACTCCAAATAGAAGGCTGCTCTTTGCAGAGTCACATGTCTGGCCAATCGCCCATGTTATCTTGGGAGAGCACATAATCAAGTTCGTCGCAGAAGTGGGCTCCAGTTCCACGTAATGTCTTCCCAAAATAGATGAGATCCATTCGACCGAGTGCCGAAAGTTGGGCTTCCGATCTCTTTGCCAAGAACTTGTGTGCTTTTTGAAGATACCATACATGACCTGCATGCAAGACGAAAGTTGCGAGCTTGTAGGGAAGCAAGGCGGCTTCATGGTGGACTTGTCGAGAAGCGAGAAGCAGACCAAGACACGAATACTCAGCGCGACAGATGATCGAGAGTCCGTCATTGCGTGAAGGTTTGTATTCGTAGATCTGATCACTGAACACGAAGGTGTAGATCGCGTTCCGGATCTCAGCGGGAAGGCAAAGAAGCGGCGACTGGGTGGCGTTGAGGTACGTTCTAGCATCGATAGTCGGTCAAAGAGCCACTGGGCGTGAGTGAGAGCATACTTACATCGAGTCGCGGTGAGCAGCATCTTTTATAAGCTGCATCTCCGCTGCGGCTTTGTGAAGACTTCCGTCTGCCATCTCGTTGCCTACGAGGACTGAATGCGCTGAGGGTGAGGTGGCGTTGTGAGTGCAGGATAGACGAAACTGAGATTCGTGGCAGTGGCAACGCGTGTGGGAGGAGTGCGGGGGTGTGATGGGGGAGTCGCGTTGTTGTTGTGGTTGCTGGGTGACCGAGGCGAGTGCGAACCTCATAGCAGTTGCCATTCTGAGAATACGTCATTGAAAACGACTGTTCTAACGCCCGAACGGCTTATTGCCGCAGGGCTTACGACCATCACCAGCAGTGTATTGTCGCACATCGGCTGCGGCAATGTGCACAAAGAGCAAGGAGAGTATGAAGAATGAATTGCTGAAGCCTTGCTCAGTGGATGCCATTCTTTTAAGAGACAGTACAGCTACTAACAAAAGCTCCATCGTCGGCGTCGTCCTGAAAACTGATCTTGAAGCCTCGGCAGATGGCTTCCGAACGGCTAAGAGAAGTACTCCTGGCAGCCCAACTCTGCAGCCCAGTACGCCGCATCTCCTGTCCACATGCCCTCCATCTTCTTGTTCCCTCGTGCTTTCTGGATCTGGATATCAAATAGTCCTCCACCCATACAGACCTGCATCCTGCCAAGCATCTCAGCCTGCGCCATCGTTCTATCCTTCAGAAAGGACTTCATTACCATCTCCTTGGGACCGACTTTACGATAGGCGGAGGTGATAGAGACACCAAAATCGAATATTGCGAGCTTGTAAGGATGTAGGGCGGCTTCGTGGTGGGTTTGACGAGAAGCTAGCAGCAGTGCCATTCCGGGGTACTTTTGGGTATGCAGATCGGTAGCATTGGGTGCAGGTCTGACACCTCCGCTGAGTAGCCACTCTTCAATGTCTAGGTTGGACTTCTTCTCAAGCCTGAAAACCTCATCACGGAAGACGTAGACATAGATCATGTCTCTGATCTCGGCGGGTAGACGAAGAAGTGGAGAATGAATAGCGTTGAGCTCGGTGCTAATTTATCGTCAGTAATTGCACTGGCACTGAGCGAGTGAGAGACTCACAGTTTGTCGAGTCGCGCACGCTTGCGTCGCTCTAGCTCTTGAGCGAAAACCACTTCCTTCCCCATGGACGCTGAAGACATTGATGGCGATCTTGGGCGGTAGCGTCGAGATAGCGTAGTCGAAGGAATTGCAAAGTGTGGCGGTGGAACAAGGGCTCGAGGAGCAGTGCAAGAGGAAGAGAGTAAAAGCCACTGCCAAGGCTGGAAAGAGGCAGGCGCGTTTTTGTCGTTGCTGGGTGACCATGCGAGGGGAGTGCGAACTTCAAATAGGAACCCCGGGGCAGCATGCATATCGTGCCGTCATACGGTTGTCTAGTTCTGTCAAGCTGTTAGCACAAATAGTAAGATGTCTCAGCACTACGTTAGCAAAGCATAGCAAGAGAGCTACAGACTGGTAATAAGCTAGCGAGATATCTTAAGAGCTATTCGTGGCGGCTACTTTACCCTTACCGCTGTATGAGTGCGCAAAGTGGAATAGGTTGCATGCTCATCGCTCACTCACTCTTAGTACTATTGATAACATCATGCGAAGCAAGAAGATTAACCTTGGAATGAGCATGATAGTATTTGAGCCACTACATCTACAGAGAAGCTGGTGATCGAAAAAGAAACACAATGACTCTTCGGGAGAATATCACACCACAGCCATTCCGTGTGTCGCACTTTTTATCTAAGGACCAGGATTTAGACCGCCAGAGAAGCATTGAGCCTCACCAGCAGCTCGTGTTTCCAGCCCTCCGCCAAGTTCGCGATCCAGAACGCCCCAGTCTCCTCAATCACCTCGTGAGATAGAGATGCGTCATCCCGATATTCATCGAATTTCAAACGTGAGATTGCATCTAAGTTATTTCAGCGACCGAGAAGGTTCAGCTGGCTGTCTTGACGATCAAGTAAAAAGATGTCCCAATGAAGAGAAAGAGCACTGTCTCCAATCTGACAGCTGCTGCTACAAATCAGATGGTCCAATCGAGGAGATATCGACGATAGATTCATCTTCAGGTCCTGTCGCGGCCGTCAAGACAGACAGAGCCTCCAACGTGGCGACCCAGTAGGTAGCAGTCCTCTGTTGATGCCAATGAGTTCTCAACACGCGGGACCACCCGGTGAACCTTACGTTGCACATCGCATCAATCTGCGCAGTCGATCGTCTCTCCAAAAACCTTTCCAGCATCCTGAGCCCATCAAGCCCTTCCTGAAGCAAGGGGAGGAAGCAGAATGTACCGAGCTCATAGGGTAGCAGAATCGTCTCATTGAGTGTCTGGCGGCAGACCAGAGATAGGCCGACTCTTCTCTTTGGATCGAGTAAGCGTACCCAGCCCATGAAATCCGGTTGAGTCCTCGCGGTAGTCTTTGTTGTTTCGTCAAAACTGTACACTGTGCCAGCGTAGACGTGGGCGAAGGTAATGTTTCTCAGCTCAGCCGGGAGGCGTAAAAGAGGTGAGTTGACGGCATTGAGCGTAGTACTAGCCATGGTCAGTCGCACCCTCCGCCAAGAAGAGCGGAATCTTACATTTGATCTCGACGAGCTTGATCGCGAATGTTTTGAAGGCGAACGGTCTCGGCATTGAGTAGTCGATCTTGAGCAGCTGTGTGACGCGATGCCCTGACGTCTCGTTCCTCGTTCGCAGACGGCGTGGTAGCGGGAGGGGTAGTTGGGCGCTTGCGCTTGGCCATGTCGAATTGCAATTGGTTCTTCGATGGAAATGGGGTAAGAGTGAGGAGTAGAACAGAAGCAAGGGTCGAGAAGATCACCCAAGTTGGGCTGACTAATCAGAGTGAGGCCCTGTGAGGGTGACTTCTAATCTGAGCCTGCCGTCATAAGAGCCGCAGCTTCCACATCCAACAACTGCTTGCAAGCAAGTGACGTCACTAGATCCAATCAATTACTACTTCAGGGACAGTACCGACTCATCTGAAATGCCAAAGCAGTACCGAGCTGACAGCTGCAATCAAGGCAAGACTATGCGCTCATGCTGAGTAGAAAGATGAAGAAGCTGTACTCTAGT